AGATGGAGTCTTACCATGTTGGCCAGGCTGATCTCAAACTCCTGACCCCAAGCGATCCACCCGCCTCAGCCTCCCAAAGTGTTGGGTTTACAGGCTGAAGCCACCGTGCCTGGCTGCATTTTTTTTTTTTTTTCGGTAGAGACAGGGTTTCACTCTATGTTGTGAAACCACCTCCCAAAGTGCTGGGATTACAGGCGTGAGCCACCATGCCCAGCCAAGCTCAAGCACTTTCTATTTATGTGATTTTTTCCCCCCAAGCCAAACTTTATCCAGCTTTATTAAAGATACTTTCCATAAACAGTCACAGTATTTCAGGCAGAACATGGGCAGACAGTCCTTAACAGTATACAACAACTTTCAAACTCCCTTTTTCAATGGACTACCAAAAAACATAAAGCCTCTTTAAAACGCAGTGGAGGGCCGGGCTTGGTGACTCACGCCTGTATAATCCCAGCTACTTGGGAGTCTGAGGCAGGAGAATCACTGGAACCTGGGAAGCAGAAGTTGCAGTGAGCCGAGATTGCGCCATTGCAGCCTGGGTGACAGAGCAAGACATCTGACAAAAAAAAAAAACCCAATGGAGTATTCATTTGATGCTCTGAACAAGAAAGTTTAGGGTGAGGAGTGACATTTCACATTTAGCTTGTTCAACATGAGCCGAGCCTGACCTTCAGGGAGTGAAATGAGAATGGCAGAAGTTGTCTGAAGATACACAGTATAGAGATGGAACCACTGCTCTTTTGAGGAGCCCCATCTCAGGGGTATCACTGGAAAGTCCAGATTGCCTGACACGCTGCTAACCAATGACTGGGGCTCAGGCCCCAACAGGTGTCTGGGTTTAACAGAGTTAAGTTTATGCTGAAGATGGAAAGGGAGAAGAGGACATAAAAACAAATTCGTTTTTCCGTACCACAAGGCTCTTGTGCCAAGCTGTCTATGTTTGTCAAAGTCAGGGAATCCTTCCTCCTGGGAGCCAAGAGGAAGCCTCTCAAAATTAGAAGGGAACACCAGCCTGGCCAACATGGTGAAACCCCTCCTCTACTACTAAAAATACAAAAATTTGCCAAGCATGGTGGTGCACGCCTGTAATCCCAGCTACTTGGGAGACTGAGGCAGGAGAATTGTTTGAACTCGGGAGGTGGAGGTTGCAGTGAGCCGAGATCATGCCATTGCACTCCAGCCTGGGCAACAAAGCAAGACCCCGACCCCCAAAAAAAAAAAAAAAAAAAAAGGTCTGGGTACAGTGGCTCATGCCTGTATTCCCAGCACTTTGGGAGGCCGCACTCAGGTGAGGTGTGCAGATCAGCTGAGGTCGGGAGTTCAAGACCAGCCTGACCAACATGGAGAAAACCCATATCTACTAAAAATACAAAATTAACTGGGTGTGGTGGCGCATGCCTGTAATCCCAGCTACTCAAGAGGCTGAAGCAGGAGAATCGTTTGAACCCGGGAGGTGGAGTTTGTAGTGAGCAGAGATCTTGCCATTGCACTCCAGCCTGGGCAACAAGAGTGAAATTTTGTCTCAAACAAACAAACAAACAAAACAAACAAAAAACTAGAAGGGAAAGGTGTTTTCCCCACATCAATCCAGCTTCAAGACGTTCTATTAGTGACACTGACAGATATCCCGTCCCCAGAAAATAAAAATGAAGTGCACTGTGTGCTAACAACGTACCTTAAAGTAAAGAAAGAAAAAAGAAAACCAAATTCTGTATTTTTGTAAAACTTGATAAAAATAGTATTTCAAACTGTACAGTCATCACAAGTACATAGTTATCACGAATGCACAGACTTCACCTGGCACCTTCAGCACCTTGGCTTCCTGTGCCTGGTCTGTTTAGGCATCTGCATTCTCTGCAGGGTTATTCCCCTCCTTGCCAGCATCAGTTCTTCCCTTTATCTCTGGGTACTTTCTCTCCCTTCTTTGCAAGAGCCTCCTTAGACTTGGCTTTGGAGAAGCAGGTTTAACAGACAACCTTGCGGGTCTTCTCTGGTTCGTCCTTCACCTTGGCGTTATCTCCTTAGCATCCTGCTCAGTCTTTCTCTTGAGCAGGGCGGCAGCTGCAGTGGGACATAAACCCTGGGTAAGGGATGCAACAGCATATGGGTTATAGTTGGTCTGAAGGTTGTTCTTGCTGCTTCTTCACACTGCTCCTTTAGGTGATCTTGCAGAAGCAACTTACCCTATATGTGCCTCGGTTTCCTTATCTGTAAGTGGAAATAATGATCTTTCTTGGGAGTTTATTAAGGTTAAGTGAATTAAGGTATATGGAAGTGTTTTCACAAAGTTTTGTAGAGAGCCAGTGTATCAAGCTTGAAATCAGACATAAAAAATTGCTGGCCGGGCACAGTGACTCACGCCTGTAATCCCGGCATTTTGGGAGGCCGAGGCGGACAGATCATTTGAGGTCAGGAGTTCGAGACCAGCCTGGCCAACATGGCAAAACCCCGTCTCTACTGGAAGTAAAAAAAAAATTATCTAGGCATGGTGGTGCACACATGCAATCCCAGCTACTCGGGAGGCTGAGGCAGGAGAATTGGTTGAACCTGGGAGATGGAGATTGCAGTGAGCCGAGAATGCACCTGGGCAACAGAGCGAAACTCCGTCTCAAAAAAAAAAAAAATTACCAAAAAATAACAAAAATAGCTAGAAGGAAAGGGTAGGAACCAAGGCAGATATGGAGTTCTACGTAAACGGAGAAAAATTCCATCTAGTTGCTACTGAATCAGTCATTATGTCACTGTGTGCAGTGTTCAACTTCCAGAGACATGGTCTGTACATGATTTGGCTTGCCAGGTGCTCACACCTTCAGCTGGAGTTGGCAGGCACCTTGACTGAGGTCCCACCGAGTCTATATGTAATATAAGAGGTATTGTTCCTGCAGAGCAAGAGCAGGATGCTATTGCAAGAAAAAGGAGGAATGGATGCTGGACAGGTATAAACAAGTAGATGTCTCAATCACTGCACAAGTGAGCATCCTGTGTGCTTATAGTAATTTGATAACAGATGCAGAAGAGAATATTGTTATGAATCAGTCATGATCCAAGCCAAATTGAAACATAATAAGAAGGAAAAAAATAAAGAGGAAAAAAATCAGTAATGACTCATATAATTAGGAGTTAAAGAGGAAAAAAAGAAGAAGAATGGTTTGGAAAATAGCTGTGCCTGCTCCTCACTAAAGTCTATCATCTGCAAGTATTTAAATACTATTCAGATGCCCATTAACAACAGAATGGTAAATAAATTTGGGTGTATTCATACAATAGACTTCACAAAATCAGAATGGACAATCTCAACTATGTACAACAATATGGGTGAATCTTTTGACCATAATATTGAGCTAAAGAAGACCAAGAATACATACCAGAGGGTTCCATTTACAGGAAGTACAGAAACAGGCAAAACTGATCTTTGTTATTAGAAGTCAGTGATTACCACCACCAAAGACAGTAAGCAGGGGTGAGAAAGCTGTGGTCTATAGGCTGGTACAATGTTTGATAAGTATAATTTTTATATGTTAAAATACATTTTAAAAAGTCAATGATTACTTTGGAGGGGTTAGAATTGTGTCTGGAGGCCGAGCACAGTGGCTCACACCTGTAATCCCAGCACTTTGGGAGCCTGAGGCAGGTGGATCACCTGAGGTCAGGAGTTCGAGACCAGCCTGACCAACCTGGTGAAACCCTGTCTCTACTAAAAATACAAAAAATTGGCCAGGCATGGTGGTGGGTGTCTGTAATCCCAGCTACTCAGGAGGCTGAGGCAGGAGAATTACTTGAACCTGGGAGGTGGAGGTTGCAGTGAGCTGAGATCGCACAATTGCACTCCAGCCTGGGTGACAAGAGCAAGACTCCGTCTCAAAAAAAAAAAAAAAAAAAACAAAGAGAAGGAAACAAGAGGGTAAATTTTAGGGGCTGGCCATGCTGTTTTTGTTATAGGTACTGGTTATATGGATGTGTTCAATTTTGAAATTTCATTCAACTATATGCTTATAAGAACTTTCCAGTATGTATAGTATACTTTAAATTAAAAAAGCCTACCTTTTGACATGTATTAATACTCCCAAATAGATATTATGCGCTGAGTAGTTTAAGAAGTATGAGGTTCATGCTGATGTGTATAAATACCTAAATGCTCATTTTTATTTCTGTGTTCATGGAGCCTTCAACAACTCCTATAAATAGGTGAGAATTTTCTGGAAATGTTGATTATGTTAAGATTTCATAATGTGCACCTTTAAATAAACCAGAGAACGTATTTCTTGACTTGGAAGACATTCCTAATAGTGGTCATCTTAATTAGCTAATTTTCTATATCTGGGGATGACTTTAAAATTATTTTATGCTGGGTGTGGTGCTTGCATCTGTAGTCCCAGCCATTGGGGAGGTTAAGCGGGGAAGATCTCTTGAGCCCAAGAGTTTGAATCCAGCCTAAGAAACCTACCGAGACCCTGGCTCTCGAAAGAAAGAAAAAGAGAGGTGGGCAGAGAGGGAGGGAGAGAAAGAGAAGGAAGGAAGGGTGGGAGGGAGAGAGAGAGGGAGGAAGGCAGGGAGGGAAGGAGAAAATGGTTTTATAGGGAATTATAATGTGTCTGGTATTTTTACTTCCTTGACTTCCTGCCATTTTCTTATGTGACACACAGAACCCCACAGAAGAAAGACATATTTTCTCAAGAAATTTGAGGTAAAATCTAATGTAGACATTCTTTAAATTATCGTTTAAACTTAGCCTATAGGAAAGCTATTTCACCCACTTTGAATTCTTACTTTTCTTGAAATGCGTGAAAGTGCATATGGTAAGAATGTGTGATTTCGAAGAAGTCTTGCTGGGAAGTTAAGCAATTCTCGGGATGTGTAGGGTGCAAGTGGACCTGTAATTTGGTAGTATGGCTCATGGGGTACAAGGTGTCATTAAATTACAATTTACACAAATGAATACATGGTGGTGGCTCCTTACAGCTTTCAAGGAAAGTGATGTAGTTTTGGTTTGTTTGGGATAGATTCTGCCGTTCCTGTATTGCTACCAGTCTAAAGAACAACAAATGGACCTGTCCTTATTGCCGGGCATATCTTCCTTCAGAAGGAGTTCCAGCAACTGATGTAGCCAAAAGAATGAAATCAGAGTATAAGAACTGCGCTGAGTGTGACACCCTGGTATGTGACCCCACGTATGTTCATGGTTACCATCTTAAGTCCCTGTGAAAGTTATTTCACCTCTGCTTCTGACCCCATGGTACTCACCTTTTCTTTTCTTGAGACGGGGTATCGCTCTTTCGCCCAGGCTAGAGTGCAGCGGTGTGATCTCGGCTTACTGCAACCTCCGCCTCCCGGGTTCAAGCGATTCTCCTGCCTTAGCCTCTGGAGTAGCTGGGACTGCAGGCACGTGCCACCACACCTGGCTAATTTTTTGTATTTTTAGTAGAGACACAGTTTCACGATGTTAGCCAGGATAGTCTCGATCTCCTGACCTTGTGATCCGCCTGCCTCGGCCTCCCAAAGTGCTGGTGAGCTGTGAGGCCAGCTGGACTTCCTGGGTCACATGAGGACTTGGGGAACTTTCCTGTCTTACAAGAGGATTGTCAAACAATTAGCGCTCCATAAAACGCACCAATCACTGCTCTATGAGACGCACCAATCACTGCTCTATGAAATGCACCAGTCAGCACTCTGTAAAACGCACCAATCAGCAGGATTCTAAAAGTAGCCAATCGCGGGTTGGATTGAAAAAGGGGGACAATAAGAGAATAAAGCCGGCCACCCCAGCTAGCAGTGGCATCCCGCTCGGGTCCCCTTCCAGGCTGTGGGAACTTTGTCCTTTTGCTCTTCACAAGAAACCTTGCTACCGCTCACTCTTTGGGTCCATGTCTTTTTTTTTTTTTTTTTTTTTTTTTTTTGAGACAGAGTCTTGCCTTGTTACCCAGGCTGGAGTGCAGTGGCGCAATCTCGGCTCACTGCAAGCTCCACCTCCCAGGTTCAAGTGTTTCTCATGCCTCAGCGTCTGGAGTAGCTGGGACCACAGGCATGTGCCACAATGCCCAGCTAATTTTTTGTCTTTTTAGTAGAGACAGGGTTTTGCTATGTTGGCCAGGCTGGTCTCAAACTCCTGGTGATCCGCCCACCTTGGCCTCCAAAGTGCTGGGATTACAGGCGTGAGCCATCTCACCCAGCCTCCAATTTCATATATATATATATATATATATATATATCTCATCTGCAAAAAACCCTGAACCCCTGCCATCACCCCTAATTTGTCAAACAAATGCTTTCATTGACCACCTCCATTTTCCCTTCTTCCCATTACTCCAGTGATCCTCTATGATGTGTCCTTCAGTTCTACTACTCTATTGCAGGCCACCAATGAATAGCTTTATTATCAAACCCAGTGACATATTTCCACCTGTATTAATCTGGACTTTGCCGTATTTGTCTCTATCAAGCACACCTTGCCTGTTGCAGTTTTCAGCTTAGGTACTATATCAGCCTCCCCAGATCATGTGAGGTCTTGAAGGTTGTGTAGAAGATTCTAGATTTTATCTTAAATGCAATAGTAAGCCAGAGAAAGAGAGTAAATTTTGGAGTGCCAAGATCGGGCTTATATCTTTATTTTTATTTTTATTTGAGACAGAGTCACTCTGTTGCCCCGGCTGGCATGCAGTGGTATGATCTCATCAGCTCACTGCAACTTCCACCTCCTGGGTTCAAGCGACTCTCGTGCCTCAGCCTCCCGAATAGCTGGGATTACAGGGGCCTGACACCACGCCCAGCTAATTTTTGTATTTTAGTAGAGATGGGGTTTCACCGTGTTGGCCAGGCTGGTCTTGAACTTCTGACCACAGATGGTCTGTCCACCTCAGCCTCCCAAAGTACTAGGATTACAAGCATGAGCCACTGCGCCCAGCCTTGAGATACTTCTTATATTCTGTCTTTTCCTTTCTGTGTTATCCCTCTTTCTAGGAATGCTCCCCATTCCTTCTAGGCACATTTTGCCCTCTCCCATTTTGCACTCTTTGTGTTCTTCAGAGTCCCGACCAGATCTCCATTCCTTGAGACCTGGCCTTAGTATTCCAGTTCCCTATATAAAACAATTTCTTTCTTTTTTTTTTTTTTTTTTGAGACAGAGTCTTGTTCTGTCGTCCAGGTTGTAGTGCAGTGGCACCATCTCAGCTCACTGCAACCTCCACCTCCCAGATTCAGGCAATTCTCCTGTCTCAGCCTCCCAAGTAGCTGGGACTACCGGTGCACACCACCCCACCCAGCTAATTTAATAGAGAGGGGCTTCCATCAGGCTGGTCTCAAACTCCTGACCTCAGGTAGTCCACCCACTTCAGCCTCCCAAAGTGCTGGGATTGCAGGCGTGATCCACCATGCCCAGCACCTATATCAGACAATTTCTTATCTACTTGTCTACACATCCTTTTTCCTCTATTAGATTATAAGCACCATTAGAATAGGCACAATGAATTACATTTCTTCTGCCATTTTTTATAATGTCTCAGATAATTTTGTGTCTAGACTATGAATTGATCAATTCATTTGTCAGTAGTCCACAGCTTGTTAATTTTCATGACTAATGCATATCTTTGTTGAACAAAGAATACAAATAGAAATTTTTACTAGCAAAAGTCATAAAGACATGGCAGAATGCTAATGTGCAAAGTTGGATGTTACAGATTGTAAAATACATCTGTTTAAGACAGCTTATGCAGATCAATCCTAGTTTTTATATCTTTTAGTTGGATATTTGTAAAGCCAGGGTTTTGTTCTTACTTTTCCACTGGCTTTTATTTTTGCCCTTTGTTAAACAATTATAACTGTTTCCTTGACATGGCAATTTCATGTTTGAGGTTTAACTTCCGTAGCTTGGGCAAAATGAAGCAGAGTGGGTCGGCCACCTTACCACAGCTGTACAGAGCTTCCTTTAGCACAAGATCTTATCAGAGTTTCTAATGAAACATTTAATAGGGTGTGTTATGTTAGCAACAGATCCCTCATGGTTAGGATCTCTGAATGTATATGTGAAAGAACAAGGGCTCTTTATTCTGCATTGATAAAAATGGACTGCAAGAGCTGTCTTTTATGTTTGCTCTTAATGGGACCATTAAGTATACGGTGTATTGTGAATTCATGTAATACTGTTGGGTGTGTTATAAAACCATGGTATTGATATCTTTCCCTAAGGCACAATGTTTCATTTAACTTACTATGGGCACCTCTAAAATTTATCCATTTATTCTTCTTATCTCTCCATTTCCTTTTTCTGTCTCTTTTTCTATCTTAGATTGTTTCTTCTTTTCTCTCTCTCTTGTGCTCTTTTTCTTCACCCTTTTTTCCCCCTTCCTTCTTTCTAAAACCTGTTTATGTAATGGCATGCAAAAGAAGTAAATTTGAGTTACTACACATCTATCTACTTTAAAAAATGTATATGCTTTTTAGAAGAACCAAATTCAAGAACTTAATAGTTGGGTCTTCTAAGTGTTGGAGAATTTGAAAAATAGTAGTATTCCTGATAATGCCTTAATTTTTGGTGGTACTGGTGTTATGAATGCATCTATTTAGTCAACTGATCCCACAGTATGACCTTATTTGAAAGTTAAAAGGCTGGATCGCATAAGCTTTCATTGAGCCCTTTTTTAACAGTGAGTTCATTTTGAATTTGTTTTTATGTAGGTTTGCCTCAGTGAAATGAGGGCACATATTCGGACTTGTCAGAAGTACATAGATAAGTATGGACCACTACAAGAACTTGAGGAGACAGCAGCGAGGTTTGTTTCCATACAATATAGTTTAATGCTAAAATTGATAATGTTTATAAAGAATTTAATGGGCTGGAAACTTTAGCATTCTTATGAAAATATTTACGTATTTATGTTTACGTTCTCAACTATAATACCTGGTACTGGTAATCATTTGTTGACAGCAATCATTGTTGAAGAATTTTGCTCTCTCTACTTTAAAAATTTCCAGGGGCAACCAACCACAGACTGGAGAGATTGGGGCAACTTCCTCAAACAAGTTTGTGTTAACACAGATCCAAAAATAGAATGCAGAACTGTTACATTTCTGCTAGGCTTTGTTTTCCAATAGATGATTCCTGAAGTAGATCGTGGTTGGGATTATCCATCTTCTGTCACCACTGCTCATTTCACCAGCTCGTTCCTTATCATTTTGCTTGTTTCTCTTTAGAATATAGACAGCAGCATCTCAGTATACAAGAGAACAGGCTGGGCAGGCATCCTGAATCCTTTGCCTTTTTGATGGGTAATCTGGTATGGGGGTAGGAGAAGGAGGGAGGTAGCTGGTAGATGTAATGGAGGATATTGATAATATTTTATTCTTTAAAAAAAAAAGAGAGAAAGAAACATTCATGGGGTGCAGTGGCTCACACCTGCAATCCCAGCGCTTTGGGAGGGTGAGACGGGCAGATCACCTGAGGTCAGGAGTTCGAGACTAGCCTGGGCAACATGGCAAAACCCCATCTCTAGTAAAACACAAAAATTAGCTGGGCATGGTGGCGCACACCTATAATCCCAGCTATTCTGGAGGCTTAGGTACAAGAATCACTTGAACCTGGGAGGCAGAGGTTGCAATGAGCTGAGATCTGGCCACTGTACTCCAGCCTGGGTGACAGAGCAAGACTCTGTCTCAGGAAAAAAAAAAAAAAAAAAAAAGAAAGAAAGAAACACATCTAGGTTATTATTGTCCTGATGAGAAAGGAAATTTAGCTGCATTAGAGTAATTATAAAGTTTATAATCTGCTCCTACTAACCAAATAAAGTGATTTGTGCTCTCTAGCAAAGGTTGATGGCTTTCCAGACATTAATCTGTCTATGGATTCATGTATCCAATATTGGTATTCTGTATAGTTTCTCTCTCCCAGAGAAAAATATTAGTTCTGCTCATTTTTAGAAAATATACTCAAAATAGAGCTTACATTTCAAAATTAAAAGTCTAAACAATCACTTCATTCCTTTTGTTTTACTAGAGATTGCTTTGCAAAAGCACCTATTATTACAGGATTAGCTTTATACCCTGACATTATAAATTTCAAATGAGTATTTTAGCTATAAACAGAGTATGGATCCTGTTAGATTGACCACAATGGCCAATAGGAAGGAAGGATTACAAACAGGTTGAGAAAGTATGGGTTTGATTGCAAGGTTGACGGCTTTTATGAAAATTTAAAAATATATGAAAGCTAATTTGAATCCCAGTTATTTTACTGGTTAGAATTAAATAGTAAAGAATTAAAATAATAGAAAATGAGGAGGGTTGTTGATTATTTTACAAGATAAATTAATATTTGGATTTATAAAAAATCTTTGCTTTACAGAAGAATTTACCACATAATTCAAATTGTAAAAATTCTTACACATAGAGTTTGTCCAGAGTACAAGTTTTGGGGGACAGGAAGTTACGTCTGTAACAGAAAGTGAGCCAACAACTCCAGGACTCCATATTGTCCCAAAGAACTTAAGGCAGTATTGTCCAATAGAAATATAATGATTTTTTTTTCTTTTTCTTTTTTTTTTTTTTTGAGATGGAATCTTGCTCTGTTGCTCAGGCTGGAGTGCAGAAGCGCGATCTCAGCTCACTGCAACCTCTGCCGCCTGAGTTCAAGCGATTCTCCTGCCTCAGCCTCCCAAGTAGCTGGGATCACAGACATGTGCCACCATGCCCGGCTAATTTTTGTGTTTTTAGTAGAGACGGTATTTCAGCATCTTGGCCAGGCTGGTCTTGAAATCCTGACCTCGTGATCCATCTGTCTCGGCCTCCCAAAGTGCTGGGATTACAGCTGTGAGCCACCGCTCCCGGCCTAGAAATATAATGTTAATCACATGTAATTCAAAATTTTCTAGTTGCAACATTTAAACAAATAAGATAAAGTTTAAATTACCTTTCAATATATTTTATCTAACCTAATAGTGCCAAAATATTATCATTTGAACATGTAATCAGTACAAAAATTATCAAGATATTTCACATTCTTTTTTCTTTTTACATTAAGCCGTCAAAATTCAGTGTGTATCTTATACATCCAGCAAATCTGAAATTTTTTTTTTTTTTTTTGAGATAGAGTTTCACGCTTGTTGCCCAGGCTGGAGTGCAATGGTGCGATCCCGGCTCACTGCACTTCTCTTTGGGAGAGAAGTGCAATCTGAGCATGCATTAACTGAGAAATTGAGGACTGCAGCACCCAGTTGTCCTTGAATTACCTTTTTCTTCCTCCTTTTCCGAATTCACATAACATTTAGATGGGGTGTTATTTGTTTTCCACCTTCACTAGCATATAACTACACGCGTCAGCCTATGTTGTTAGTTTCCAGTGAAGAATGAAAAATGACCTGCAGTCCGGGCGAGGTGGCTCACACCTGTAATCTCAGCACTTTGGGAGATTAAGGAGGGTGGATTGCTTGAGCTCAGGAGTTTGAGACCAGCTTGGGCAACATGGTGAAACTCCCACCTCTATTGAAAATACAAAAAATTAGCATGGTGGCACGTTCCTGTGGTCTGAGCTACTTGGGAGGCTGAGACAGAAGGATCATTTGAGCCCAGGAAGTGGAGGTTGCAGTGAGCTGAGATTGCACCACTGCACTCCAGCCTGGGCGACAGAGTGAGACTCCCTCTCAAAAAGAAAAAAAAAAAAAGAAAGAAAGAAAAAGAAAAGTGACCTGCAGCTACCTTGTTAAATCCTTATGTACACTTAGGAATATTTGTCCCTTATCTGTGCTGTCCAAGATGTGTCCACTGGGCACTTGAAATGTGGCTAGTCCAAATTCAGATATGTGGCTAGGTGTGGTGGCTCACACCTGTAATCCACCCAGCACTTTGGGAGGCCGAGGCGGGTGAATCACCTTAAGTCAGGAGTTTGAGACCAGCCTGGCCAACATGGTGAAACCCCATCTCTACTAAAAATACAAAGATTAGCTTGGTGTGGTGGTGGGGGCCTGTAATCCCTGCTGCTTGGGAGGCTGAGGCAGGAGGACCCCTTGAACCTCGGAGGTGGGGAGGTTGCATTGAGCTGAGATCATGCCACTGCACTACAACCTGGGCCACAGAGCAAGACTCTTGTCTCAAAAAAAAGAAAAAAAAGTGACTACTATCTAGTTGCCAACCATTTCACTAATATTTGTATTCTGTGTTATTTCCAGGTGTGTATGTCCCTTTTGTCAAAGGGAACTGGATGAAGACAGCTTGCTGGATCACTGTATTACTCATCACAGATCGGAAAGGAGGCCTGTGGTAAGGATTTTTGTTACACGTATAAAGCAGTGTCTGAATTCAGGACACATTAGGAAAGCCATTTAATAGATTTCTACTTATAGATATATTATAAAGGATAATGATTTATGTTAAGGTTATGGTAACTCTGTGACTATTCATGATATATGAAAGTGTTGCGTTGAAACTGGTAAGAATGACTAATGTGTGATCACTCATTTATGAAATTACACATTATCTCTAACAGGTAATCATGGGCATAATCAACTAAAATGATCCAAAATGCACAATTAAGATCTAAATTTAGCAGGCCGGGCGCGGTGGCTCAAGCCTGTAATCCCAGCACTTTGGGAGGCCGAGATGGGTGGATCACGAGGTCAGGAAATCGAGACCATCCTGGCTAACATGGTGAAACCCCGTCTCCACTAAAAAATACAAAAAACTAGCCGGGCGAGGTGGCGGGCGCCTGTAGTCCCAGCTACTCGGGAGGCTGAGGCAGGAGAATGGCGTGAACCTGGGAGGCGGAGCTTGCAGTGAGCTGAGATCCAGCCACTACACTCCAGCCTGGGCGACAGAGCGAGACTCTGTCTCAAAACAAAAAAACAAAAAAAACCAAAAAACAAAAAACAAACAAAAAAAGATCTAAGTTTACCAGCTAGGCCAATATGGTGAAACCCCATCTCTAGTAAAAATACAAAAATTAGCTGGGTGCATTGGCAGGCACGTGTAATCCCAGCTACTAGAGAGGCTGAGGTCTCAATCTTCTAACCTCGTGATCCACCCACCTTGGCCTCCGAAAGTGCTGGGATTACAGGCATGAGCCACCACTCCTGGCCTGGATTGTTACCAATTTTTAGAATTTGAATTCCTATTCTTGTACATTTAAACTTTTCCTTATATTGGAATTTTTCTAAGAGGAAATTCTTTATTGTTTCTGCAATTAATAATGCAGACTTTTTAATAGCTCTTGAAATGTACTTTTAAAGTACTTTCCAAAAAGTCTGAGTCAATTTATATTTGTGTCAGCAATCTATGAGTAAACCACTTTGACCTTAATGGGCTATAATTAGGAACATTTATTTTTAATTTCCCCTGGCTCAACAAATATAAAATGATACTTTGAAGATTATTTTATGTAGTATGTATTTTTATGTAATATATACACAAATGGGTGTGTGTTGTTTTCGTATATAACTTTTTAGAGGTTTTTCAGTTTTAGGGTTTTTTCCATAAAATCCTTTCAGAAAGTGGATGAGATTGAAACATAAGTATATTAGGTAGGTAGATAGATAATAGATAGGAAGATAATAGAGAATAAAGAGAAAGATACATACAGCCGGGCACAGTGGCTCACATCTGTAATCCAGCACTTTGGGAGGCCAATGTGGGCAGATTACTTGAGACCAGGAGTTCAAGACCACTTGGCTAACTTGGTGAAACCCTATCTCTACTACTAAAAATACAAAAATTAGCAAGGCATGGTGGCATGCACCTTCAGTCCCAGCTACTCGGGAGGCTGAGGTGGGAGGATTGCTTGAGCCCAGGGGGACGGAGGTTGCAGTGAACTGAAATCGTGCCACTGCACTCCAGCCTGGGTGACAAAACAAGAACCTGTCTGAGGCCAGACATGGTTGCTCACACCTGTAATCCCAGCACTTTGGGAGGCCGAGGCGGGTGGATCACCTGAGGTCAGGAGTTTGACACCAGCATGACCAACATGGTGAAACCCCGTCTCTATTAAAAATATGTTTTAAAAAATTAGCTGGGTGTGGTGGGGGACACCTATAATCCTAGCTTCTTGGGAGACTGAGGAGAATCACTTGAACCTGGGAGGCAGAGGCTGCAGTGAGCTGAGATCACACTATTGCACTCCAGCCTGGGCAACAAAAGTGAAACTCTGTCTCAAAAAGAAAAAAAAAAAAAAACCTGTCTCAAAAGAAAAATAGATAGAGACAGAGAAAATCCTCACAGCAATCCTGTGAGATAGGCTTGATGACTATCCCCATTTTATTTTATTTTATTTTATTTTATTTTATTTTATTTTATTTTATTTTTTTTTTTTGAGACGGAGTCTTGCTCTGTAGCCCGGGCTGGAGTGCAGTGGCCGGATCTCAGCTCACTGCAAGCTCCGCCTCCCGGGTTATGGCAGGCTGCAGGTGCTGTCAAGCTCACTGCTCCGCCTCCCGGAGTTCACGCCATTCTCCTGCCTCAGCCTCCGGAGTAGCTGGGACTACAGGCGCCGCCACCTGCACCACGGCAGTTTTTGTGAACCCGGGAGGCGGAGCTTGCAGTGGCCGGATCTCAGCTCACTGCAAGCTCCGCCTCCCGGGTTCACGCCATTCTCCTGCCTCAGCCTCCGGAGTAGCTGGGACTACAGGCGCCCGCCACCTCACCCGGCTAGTTTTTTGTATTTTTAGTAGAGACGGGGTTTCACCGTGTTAGCCAGGATGGTCTCGATCTCCTGACCTCGTGATCCGCCCGTCTCGGCCTCCCTAAGTGCTGGGATTACAGGCTTGAGCCACCGCGCCCGGCCTGACTATCCCCATTTTAAAAATGATAAACTGAGGCTCAGAGAGGTTAAGTCAATCATACAAGGTCACACAGCTGGTAAGTAACAAAGACAGAATTTGAATACAGTAATCTAGCTCCAGGGCTGCGTGGGAAACCCCTGTGGTCTATAGCAAGTTCAAGAGAAAAGCATGCAGGGATATTTGTTATTGATCTTAATGGCCTAGGGAGTTGACAATTGGAATGGCTAAGTAGGAGCTTGTTAGATGTGGAAGGAGCAGAGGAGATGGTCATGGGCTTTTCCTGCTCAAGTTGCTCTGTAGGAGGAACTGGGCTAGGGAGTTGTTTCACAATAGGTCCCTGGGGAGCTAGAGGAAGTTAGAAGAAAGCATAAGGATGGAATGATAGTAACTACTATCACGGAGTTTACTGAGTTCCAAGTACTTTCTTGTCTCCTAGCAACTCTATGAAGAAGGTTGAACCCTGACCATTAGTACCCAGGGTGCTGCTTTGGCTGGAAGAATGCCAGGCCCTCTGGACTGTGGTCCTAGGCTGCATCTAAGCAGCAATCTGGGGCAGGCCACATATTGGCCACAGGTTGGTCAGTTCTGTAGTACTGTGTCCCTGCTCCAGCAGAAATCCAGTCCACGTGCTGCTCAGTTTGGCCCCAATTGAAGGTGGCCCATGAAACTAGGTCCTCCGTGATTTTACAGGTCTTCAGGGTCATTGAAGACAGCTGACCTAAGCAGGGAAACAAACTAGTAATGGTGGGATCAGATTGCCTATGGGATTTTGTAGTTAAATCCTAGGCTTTAAAGGGGATAGGCTTGGTTCTAATCCCAGGAAGTCTATTAAATTCTCTCTGCACTGTTTCATCATTTGTAAAATGCGGATGGTGATGACATTCATACCTTTTTCACAGGTAGTACATCAATCAGGCATATAATAAAGTAAGCACTGTCACCTGGCAATCACTCCATTAATAGAAGAGGGTGGTGGTGATAGTGGAGGTTCACTATGCTTTTCAATTCTATAAAATTGGGCCTAGAGAAGATTTCTTAGAGGAAGTGATGTCCTCTCACAGTTAGAGAACCCACGTGGGGTGATGGTGTGAGTTGGGGGGTGGTGGGGAGGAGGAGGATGGGGAAGTGAAGTGGTAAAATCTCACCACAAAGACCAGGATGCTGTCATGGCATTGAAGCAGGAGCAGACTGTTCAGAAATCCAAGGTTCTGTAATACCCTAGGGCTGTCTAGAGGTGGTCATTGGAACACAAGACCTTCAGGTGTCCTGTGTTAGTGTTTCACTCTTGAGCAGAAGCTCAAGTTGCATGTCACTCTGAAGGATCTAGAGCCACTAGAAGTCATGATTTACACCATAGTTAGGAAAAGGCAGGGGACAGATATGTGGTATAGCTGGGGTTCACATGCTTAGGAATCCCTAATGGGGACACGTGAGTGAAAACACCCTGAGGGAAGTCCTGGGAAAGGAGGGCTGGGTCCAATGCTGATTCTGGATGGGTGTGGAAGTTAACCAGGAATTATTGCTTTAAAGGACTGGATTACAGGTTTTGCAAGCAGATAAGATCAGTGACATTATCTGACCTACCTCACATAAGAGGTTTCCTGGCAGTTGGAGATTTCCTGGGTAAATGATTCTTCTGACTTCCAAAAATAATTAGGTAACTCACAGATCAAACCACAAGATAAGCAATCTTTTCTTTCTGAGCTGTTCAAGAATGATAAAATGTATATAAAAAACATCAGGGGATTTTGACTTTTCTTACATGTAGCCTTAAGAGCCAATAGCTCCTTTTTGTCAAGCAGTAATTATATTGTTATATTCTGCCATTTTTTAAAAATTGGAGACGGGGTCTTTCTCTGTCACCCAGGTTGAACTGCAGTGGTGCAGTAGTAGCTCACTGTAACCTTAAACTCCTGGGCTCAAGTGATCCTTACCTCAGCCTCCTGGGTAGCTGGGACTACAGTTGTGCACCACCACAACTGGATAATTCTTTTTTTTTTTTTTTTTGGTAAAGATGAGATCTTGCTATGTTGCCCAGGCTGGTCTCAAATTCTTGGCTTCAAGCTATCCTCCCACCTTGGCTTCTGAAACCATTGAGGTAGCAGGCATGAGCCACTAAGCTCGGTCATTTTTTTTTTTTTTTAATAATTCTATTTCTGGAATATTAGACTCAAAGGAAGCAGATGACACAAACAGCATGCTTTAGACTGAATTACGAGACCACTTTTTTCTTTTTCCTTAAATGTAGATAACTTTAATGAGACTACTTTTGCGAGAAATGTATTTTATTCTGTAAAGGGAAGATGTTTTAGCAAGAACCATGCTCTCCAGCTAGTCTCTCTGTCCAGAGTGCTTTTTTCTTTTTTTTTGAAGAGACAGAGTTTCACCATCATGTTGCCCAGGCTGAGTCTCGAACTTGTGACATCAGGCAATCCCCCTGCCTCGGCCCCCCAAACTGCTGGGATTATAGGCATGAGCCATGGCGCCAGG